ATGTACAAATCTACAGACGGGTGTCTACAGAGATAACAAGGGAGGGATAGAGATGGTCTTTGTATTTTTTCTTCTTTGCCGCGGCCCCCCCCCCCCCCCCCCCTCCGCAGATGAATAGTCCAGGACCCAATTGTTCAAAAGTTAAATAGCGCTATCCAACAAATAAATCACTACCCAGCGGATAGGTATTAGGGAAACCAATTGAGTTATCCACTGGATACAGATTTATTCAGAGGATGACACTACCCACCTTTTGAAACCTTTACAAACTCGATTGATTAAGGATGCCTGATCAACTTTCTCTGCCCAGAAATGCATGTATGCATTTAATTCTAAGAATAGATTGTGCTCAATCCAAACAACACGAACGAGAAACTGTTAAGGCGTGTGACAGGCAGTCAGAAGCAGACTACCGAGATTTACAGTCACCGTCATTCTAATTTGATTTCTACTATTTTATGCCCTTATACAGATACACCCCCTGATATACATGCAAACTTAAAACCTCCGTCTAATGAATTTGGGTGAGACAACCATTTTCACACCCCGCCAATTGAGACTTCAAGCATTATTACTTTTAGAAGATAACAGTCTTGTCATGCCTTTATTTCATTATGCAGACCTTGTTTGGGGAGACAAGCATAATGTAACCTTAATGGCCAGTTTGCAAGTCTTGAAGAATAAGGCTGCTAAAATAATTTTAGACAGACCTCTTTATTCATCTGCTACGCATGCGCTCGCCACTCTTAAGTGGGTACCATTAGAAAAAAGGCGCTTTCAGAGAAGATGTATTTATGTGTATAAGTGTTTAAATGGACTTGTTGAGCATGATATGAACTTCGTAAGACAGCAAGAACAACACAATTATAATACCAGAACTAAGCTGAATCTCAGACTTCCAAGTGTCAAAAGGAATTGGGGCAAGCAGCGGACTGCATTTCATGCCATCAAGGATTTTAACTCACTTAGCCAAGCAATCAGTCAATCCGTGATTCTGAATATTTTTAAACGTAATCTTTTTAAATTTGTAATTTAAATGAATTTGAGTTAATATCTTGTACTTTTTAATAGTTTTTAAATATTTTAGATTTTTAATGTCTTTGCGAATTGTATGTATTTTCTATTTTTTTAAAATTTTATGAGATCCTTTTTGAAAACCATATTTTACATGAAAAAGTCATCCCAATAAAGATTATTATTAGAGGTAGCTGGAATTTGTTTAACTTACCTTCGCCCTCCATTTCAATAACATCGGCTTCTGAGAAGCGTTGGTTTAGTGCCTCACGCCGCGCACTGCTATCAACACTTTCTGGGCCACTCAGAAACACTCCTTGGTGCATCTCGACCTCAAATTCTTTTGGATTCTTCAGTGGGGCTTTCCAACCATGGGCAGCACATAACATCAGTCTTGAAATATTGGCTTTCAATGGAACTCTTACACCACGTTCTGTAATGCCTTCGTCCGTGACTTTGGAGGAGGAATATGATATCAGTTTCACTGACACTACCACGTCCCCAAGTTTTACTTTTGCGAGGTCTAAGACACCACAGCAACCCACACTGAATACCGCTTTGGGCCCCAAGACTTCGACTGCTTTCATTACGACAACACAAGATCCTTGTGAAACGATGGATCCTGTGTAACACTTCACCACAGCGATCTTTGGCATCATGTCATCGTTCCCAGTTTCGCCTAGGTACACGTCTTGACGAAGCTCTTTGCAGTAACTTCTACGGAAGTCGCGATTGAAACACGAAATACAAGCTAGAAATTCCCAATCCTTCACCGTCAAAAGCAAAATGTCGATTGGCAATTGACGCTTATCCAGTGGTACTGATTTTCNTTATTAGAGGTAGCTGGAATTTGTTTAACTTACCTTCGCCCTCCATTTCAATAACATCGGCTTCTGAGAAGCGTTGGTTTAGTGCCTCACGCCGCGCACTGCTATCAACACTTTCTGGGCCACTCAGAAACACTCCTTGGTGCATCTCGACCTCAAATTCTTTTGGATTCTTCAGTGGGGCTTTCCAACCATGGGCAGCACATAACATCAGTCTTGAAATATTGGCTTTCAATGGAACTCTTACACCACGTTCTGTAATGCCTTCGTCCGTGACTTTGGAGGAGGAATATGATATCAGTTTCACTGACACTACCACGTCCCCAAGTTTTACTTTTGCGAGGTCTAAGACACCACAGCAACCCACACTGAATACCGCTTTGGGCCCCAAGACTTCGACTGCTTTCATTACGACAACACAAGATCCTTGTGAAACGATGGATCCTGTGTAACACTTCACCACAGCGATCTTTGGCATCATGTCATCGTTCCCAGTTTCGCCTAGGTACACGTCTTGACGAAGCTCTTTGCAGTAACTTCTACGGAAGTCGCGATTGAAACACGAAATACAAGCTAGAAATTCCCAATCCTTCACCGTCAAAAGCAAAATGTCGATTGGCAATTGACGCTTATCCAGTGGTACTGATTTTCCCGGAAGATCCTCATTCCGTAGAAGAGTAACAGTTACCTCTGGTGGATTACTCGTAGTTTTCAGTGATTCAGTGACTATGGAGAAAAACAACATAATAAAAAAAAGAAAATAATAATTAAGCTCCGTATTTTCTGTTTCCGTCTCCAGCTTAAGGTAGCTGAACACAGCTTCTCTGACAGAATTGCGCGCGCTAAGAAATTTCACTGACGCAATTGTTTCCGTGTGCACAATAGACTGACGTGATCTGAAGAAAAATAAAAAGCTAAATGAAAAGGTTTCGCCCCTAGAAATGCTTTATCTCTCTACTGTTAACATCTTTATTATGAGAGGATATGCAGCCAATGGAATTTTCTAGAAATAAAATCTGAGGAACAGCTGAGAAAAATGGCCAGAAGATGACTGTTTATTCTGTTTCCGTCGGTTTTTTTGCCATATCACATGACCCAGCGCGCACAAGTGTTGAGGATGCGTACTTAGGGAAAAATGTGGGAGCGCTTATTTTGTTGACTTTCATAGACAATGTAAAGAAACGAAGATATCTCAAACTTAGAATATAAAAAAATTGACGAAATTTGGCAAAATTCTTGTAAATATCGCACTTGAATGGGTACCGTGTCGGAAGCATTTTGTGGAAACGACCGAAATTGAAATTGCTGAAAACAATGGCGAATTGGTGCAATTGGATGCGGGTAAAACCATCGTGAATCTCGTGTTTAGAAAAGTTTAAATAGAAGGACTATCAACAACCAAGACCTCATTTGCTACAAAACATGCAACGTGTCGTGAGTGATAAGCCGCCTGAATATCCTGACAATGAAAACCATACCTTTAAAGTTCCATTGAACGCTTTGATTTTTATTTTGATCTATTTTGAATGGCATAACACTGAAAACCAGTATTTACAACACAGCTTGTGAAAGAGAGAGGTGAAGCGAAAAGTGAAACGAATCTTCAAACAAGTGTTTTCGACATGAAACGAGTCGCTTAAGTACCCCGATTCCTTTTTTTACCAAGACAATATGGTCGTGGCATCTCTAAACGCATAAAAAGGACAACAGTCAAGTTTGTTTATTGATGTAGTAAATATTCATTTAATGAAAGTGTGGACTTCCTAGCTATGGCTATCAGTGTCTCCTCTTCCTTAAGACATATCAGTTTAATCTTTGCAAAGTTGCTCTTTCCGGTGGTGTCAACTGATTTTCCCTGACTGGTCCATGTCCAAAATTTAAGTAAAGAGATTGTGGAAGGGTCTATTGTTAAAGCTGGGCATTTAAAAAACCTAGATCGGATCGGATCAACTGCTATAACTTAGTGATTGACAAAAGGTTACGGATAGAGTTACAAGGGTTGATCCGATTCACGTTTTGTCGACGGACATTGCGGCTTACCTTGTAAAGACCAGGATTCATCATGCGACTCTGAGCGTGTGCTGGAAAGATTTAAACTCTGCAAAGAAAAAAATACCACCTTTTTTTAATGCTAGTTCGATATACCTAAAAGTGTAGGTCCATCGTGTAGGTGTCTATGAAAGGAGGAACAGTGGTTACGCAATAAAGCCAAAAAAAACAGTAAAACGACAAACAGACACCGAAACGCAGAGGAGTGCATTGCAGGTAAGTCTTTTTTATTCATTTCGTTTAAGAAAAAGTAAGGTTTAGCGTTATTTAGCGTTCGCAGATCTCAGTAATATATTTCTCATACAAAGTCTCTTATATTTTCAACGGTCGTCTGTAACGCGACACCGGCGCGTCACCTATGCCGGGTATGTAAATTACATTACACCCTTCCCTCGTAACGTGAGTTTGGGCCGCCTGTGCTGCAACTGCAACGAAAACGTTACTGTAAAAATAAATTACAAGCGAATTGGAATTATTGAAACTGTCGCTATGACTCCAGTTCGCTTACAAAGACAAATGGATGAATTCTCGGCAGTTGAGTTCTTGATTAGAAAAAGAAATAATATATGGATTTTGCCCGGGCTAAAAGCGAAGCTTCTGTTTAAATACTCCTAATAAAAGCAATCAACTTTACCTTATACATTTTAAGCACTGACAAAGAAATTTTCAAATCCCTACTTAACATTTGAAGCCTTTCATTTACCGTTTGAGTAAGGTTTTGGTAAATTAAGATTATAATATCCCACAAACACAATCATCTGAAATGAAGAGACTCTCCAACGAGCTCAAAGTCTCCTGTTATTTAAATTAATACAAACCGAACCTGGATTTGGACTCAGCTATACATGCACAAGTTTAACATCCCCCCTTTTTGTTGGGGGGGGGGGGGGGGGAAGAAATACATAAATTAAATAAGTACCCCTGGTGAATAGGCAAGTGTTTGTTAGCTCATGGACAAAAGCAAATAAAAAAATATATAAAAAAGTAAATAAATGTATAAAAATATTCATTATCTTAACAAAAAAATTTAGAAATGTAAAGTTTTGAAAAAATAAAAATAAAAACACCCAAAAACACAAACAACTTAAAAGAAGAGACTCCCCAACGAACCCAAATTCTCCTTTTATTTAAAATAAAAAAAACCGGACCTTGATTTGGGCCCAACTATACATGCACAATTTTTACACCCCCCCTTTTTGTTGGGGGGGGGGGGGGGGAGAGAAAATTACGCTACAGTTTATGGACCACTGGTGCATTGACTGCATGTTATTGGGTTATGGACGAAAATGATAATAATAATAATAATAATAATAATAATAATAATAATAATAATAATAATAATAATAAAAGAATTACAAATATTGTTTTAACGAAGATCAGGACAGTAATTTCAAATATTAATTTTAGGAGGCAAAACTACAATTATTCACAGCAACATTACAATCCAACAGTCAATAGCTAGTTAATAATATAAAAGTTGCATCACGTTTTTGCGGTGCAAACGCCGATCACGCAAGCACGATTTTGGAAAAAAACGTTTTGACACCAAAACTCCATATTTTTATTTATTTATCCCTTTCTTTGACGATCAAAACTTTTATATATATACATTTTTTTTCATAAAAAATTTCCGTCTCAATTTATTCTATCCTATTATGCTTCTTCTTCTTTTTGTTTGAATGTTGTTTTCTTTGTTCTCCCAAAACAGGCGAATATACATGATCGCCAGCAGTACCGACGAGTTGGTTCTGAAATGTCCGGAATGCGTAAATCTACACAGGGAGTTCTACAAGGATCCACTCTGGGACCGGCCTTATATAATGTGTACATCAAGGATTTGCCTGGCATTCCAGATTATTGCTCCTTAGAATCCTACGTAGATGATTCCAAGTTACATCTAACATTCCCAATCAAGGCCATCGACACTGCAACTCGACAAATAACCGAAGACCTGAAGAAAGATTTTTCTCGTGGAGCTGTCAAAATAGCCTTCTAAACAACCCTGATAAAACGAAATTGCTCTTAATTGGCACCCGTCAAATGCTGCAAAATGTGCCTGCATATCTGGAGACATGTTACCCCACCAGCACCACTTCTTGTGCAAAAAAAAAGATTTCAGATAATTTTTTTAACACTTAAGTTTATACCGATTATGTTCTGATATTTTTTGAACGTGAAAACTAGCAAATTCGTTCCCAGGGTTCTCTCCTACCCGTCCCTGCAGAGTGAGAGAGGGGAGTAGGAGAGAATCCTCTCTCCCTAACCTCTCAGTTACATGGCCGTAGCAATGGTACTGCTACTAGAAAGTACATAACGCACCTTTGACACGTGTTCATTGGCCCTAATCCAAGGTACGAGCGGTTCCTTTTCCAGCATTTGACCCGGCTCACAACAGAGGATTCTACCGTCCAAAGGTATGTAATGGCCACAGTCATGGTGCCAACATGAACTTTTTTCGTGCCGCGCGCAGGGCTCTGCCTTTTTACCGATACAAACTATGCATCGAGCGCACAACGTCTCAGACATTAAATGCAGCCAGTGACACTCCTTTCGTAGCTTTTTCAAGAATTCATTCAACTGGCTACAAAAAAAGAAAAGATGTTTAACAGTTGAAGGGAAGCTTGGAAAACAGCAGTTTAGCTTCTATCTGAATCACTTGAAGGACTCGTATGTTAAGTAAACTGGTCCTAACTGAATTGAACTGAAAAGAAAGCTCCTTCATCTAAGGGATCTTTCACAGAATTCACTATTGTTGTGATCACTAAAGGGGGATTCAACACTGGACTTAACAGGAGATACATACCTCGTGTACACAAAGCTACCAGGAATGGATTTATCATTTAGTCATGAGTGCTTACCTCAAAACAAGATCATAAAGCCCTTGTGGAGGTGTACTGCCATGATCTGCAAAAATTTGCAGCTTAATAACTGCCTTGTAGCACAACAATTGAAGAACATGGTTTTCATTGTCCAAGGCAATTTTGGCTTCATTAGCGCAAAGGCTACGCATATTATTAAAGTGAGGAGTTTTCCCAAAAAGGACAACCAGTCGGCAGAAAAGTCCACTTGGAACATATTTAGTTTGAAATGTGAGGTATATCGCTGAAGCGTAATCTGTTTCATTTTTTCCCTCTTCTTTATAATAGGTAGTCAGCATACAAGGGACCAGGATTTTGGATTCTCCTGTTTTAGTTTCTTCTGTTTTTTCTGGCCACTTGCAAATGAGGTTGAACTTATCCATTAAAGAAATAAAAGAGTCTTTAATAGGATACACACTTTCTTTGTTGCAGGTATAATCAATCAACCGCTCACGAAGAACTCCTTCTTTTGCTAATTTCTTGCGATCTTGTCTTATATACAAAGGTTCCTTCTGATCTGGTTCCACTTTGATAATCTCACAGAGTACACTGATTAACCACTGGGGATCTAAGACAATCAGACCAAATTTCTGTTTATCCTGTTCGTGTTCATGGTACACTATTGTTCCACGGCCATGCAAAAAATACACAAGCTCGTCAAAGTCGTCTTCACTCTTAAAAGTGCAGTGCTGTGAAACAATATCTTTTCGAAAATATTCCTTTTGGAGGTACTTTTGCTTTTGCCAGACAGGTTTTCTAATTTCTTTCTCGACACGATGCCATTGCAAAGGGATTTCCATTTTGGTATGAGGCATTTTATCAGCCAACTCCAAGATCTTTTTTCGCAACTCACTGATTTCCTCCTGGTCGACTGACTTTCCAGATTTTGTGTTATCAATCGGAAGACAATCAGCGATGTGTGGTAAATAAGTGTATTCATCGAACACACTTGAACACTTCTCTTCTAGTACAGATTCAATTGCTTGACGTGGATCGTCTACAGAGTCAGCATGGGTACCGACAAGTATGACTGGAGGATACGAAAGCCCATCGCTCTGAAAGTTCGTCTTTAAAGAGTGAATCAAGTCCATCCACCTAAGTAAGTGATCCAAATTGGTGTCCTCGCTATCGCGGGCTGTTGCAATGAGCTCTTTGTGTCCCACATTGACTCGACATTCTGCTTTTTCGCTCAATTTCTTTGTAAGATCAAACACGAGGAGATAAATGTCATGTGAGGACATAAAGATCGGATGTATAGCACGATAGATGTCCTGTCCAGCAAAATCCCAAATGATAGGCCAAATTTTTTCATCAGTGTCAGCTTCATTTTTCTCGAGGTGTTCCTCTAATACTCTGGCAATTTCATCTGGAACGCCAAATGGCTTCCTTTGATTTTCCAGGTCTTCATCTCCTGAAACTAAAAGAGAAGAATTTTCTCTGTTAAGCGAGTATTCAGCTTTTCGATTGCCTGGCAGAAACAGTAGTCCCAACCAATAAATCTGCTTGTTGAAATCACTAGAAAGTTTCCCATATTTATGACAAAATAAGAAGAGGCTAAAGTTTACTCTTGTTTTTCTATGTTAGTTTAATTCCTGGTTACAGAAAGTAGTGTGCGAGTGATTTAAAAAGAGAGGCAATTAGAGACAGTATTTTACCACTCTGAAATACAGTTAACGACAAAAAACAAATAAACCTAGCAAAGTTGGGATTAGCCGCGCAACATAATATTACGTATTAAAGATCCAGAGCCTAGTTTAAGTAAGGAAGAGAAAAGTTTGTATTGTTTGCATTCATTTGTCGGTGTAAGCGCGAAAGCGTTTCTTCCAGTTTCTGCTGATAAGAACGAAAGAAAAGAATCGATCGCCATTCTTTCCGGGGATGGTTATTTTCAGGATTTACTCAGGAGCAGGAATCTATTTACTAATCAGAACTTTACGTTATTTTAGGATTTCACACACAGACACAAATAGTATAACAATTTGGTACTGCCAGAAACCCATGAGGGGTTCAACCCCTTATGAGTTTCTGGTACTGCATAATATATAGCATCACATCAAATAGTTTTGCTTGGTAGCTTTCATTTGATTTGTCACATTTTTGATTTTGATGGAATCCACAGACATCTCGAAATTCGGAGCAGATTACTGAACTTAGCGGATCATGTTCCAAGGGAGCTACTAAAGATGCTGTTAAAGGCGTACATGGCAGAAGGCGTTAACTTAAGATTTTTCTGGGCCTGGTTTTCCTTGACCTCACTAGGAACTTCTTCCTTTTGGGGGAGTTGAGATTTTCCTTCATCAGCTTTTGACGAAATCGGAATGTCTGTGTGGGTATAGAAATAAAAGGTAATGAGAGAAATTGGTGTTGAAATAGATAGCCTGATCCACGCTAAGAAAATTATCTAACTTTAAGCCTGAAGTGTCGGAAGCCGTGTCAGAGGGATGGATTTCCTCTCACGGCCAATGAACCTATTACCTTGTTCTCTCTATGCGTTTCGTCTGTGTTTACTTACGATGTTTCTGGGCCTGGTTTTCCTTGACCTCTCTAGAAGCTTCTTTCTGTTTGGGGAGTTGAGTTTTTCCTTCATCTGCTCTTGACGAAATCGGGTTTTCTGTGTAGTTATAGAAAAACAAAAGCGTGGAATGTAAGAAATTAGTGTTGAAATGATATAGCCTGTACAACGCTCAGAGATTATTCACCTTCACCCTTGAAGAATCGGAAGTCAGAGATTTCCTCTAAAGGCCTATGAGTCTACTACCTGGTTCTCTTCATAAGTTCCGTCTATCTTTTAGTACTCTGTTGCGGGACTAGACGATATCTTATAAAAAAAATCCACCAACTTAAAAAAGATGAAGGTCAATTCGTGTTAAATTAGCCTATCCCAGGGGAGAGCAAGGGGAAGGGGTTAATGCCACCAACCCAAAGGTTGGCGGGTTTTTTGATTTTTCAGAACCATTTAATTGCTAGAAACTTTTTCCCTTCAGTAACTTTTTATCTATTCCTTGGATCTATTCCTTGAGCGGTTATGTATTAAGCGGCCAGTTTTCTAACTCCAGATTTTTCTCCCATAAAAACGCTGTCTATGTTTTGATGTTTTGCCCACGATCACCTAATTTTGTGTCTTAGAAAGTGTGTTTTCCCGATACTTCTACCCCGTTTAAGTAAATTGAAGGGCATGTTTTTTTCTTCTTTTCTTCAAAGAAAATTTCAATCTTTATCGCAAACCAATGAGCTCCTGAACTTTTGACAAACAGCCTCGAGCTCAGGATTCTTTTTTTAACAATTATCACAGGGGGGAAAAATGAAACAAATATGTTTAGGACTTACCATCTTCACCAAATAACTGATCTGTTTTGTTAGACGCTAGAGTTCTTGGTTGTTTCTTTACTGGCTGCTCCGAATGTTTGCTTAATAAATCCTCAGCGGTCTTTGCAGCAACCTTATGATCAAATACTGTTGTGTGTTCTAGAGAGGCTGGATTTCTCCACGCGCCTGTTCCAGCATTCTTGATAGCAGGGATCATTTGCACTCCCTCAGTACTGAGTTCGGCTTCATCAAAAGGTTCACCTCTTAGAGCTTTGCCGAGGCTCGTTTTACCCACACGGTCTTGCCCTACGAGCAAAACCTTGACACGTTTATCATATGTACTACCACCAGTCTCAATTGCCCTGTGATAAGCAGCAAGTGCTTTGTCTCCTCTAGCTCGCACAAAGGCTGGAATCAAATCTGAAATTATTAAAAGAATCGGTTTAACAAATTATTAGAGGTGACATTAAATTTCACACTGATGTTAAATAAGCTAGTCTTTAGACGCGATCATGTATCATTCTTGGAGCTTTAGAAAGATAACTGCACAGTGATTGTTTCTTTAGAGATTAAGGGTTTATATAATTACTTAGAAGTGTAGAAAATTCAAGATTTATGCCACGATCCGGCCAGGCCAGGACCGTAGCCAGACACTTAACGCAGAAAATAGCAAAATCTAGAGGCTTTGACCATGAGCCACATTGTATTTTAGGCAGTTTTAGAAAATTCAACCTTGTTTAAATCCAGACGAGGCGCTTGCCTCGTCTTGCCTTATGCCAGCTACGACCCTGCGATTAAGCTGGTACTTAGTTGCCAACGAGGCAACCGCGCTAAGAAGCGAGGCTGACTCGGCGGCAGAATTATAACGCCGCGCAATGTAGGCAAAAACTCTCAAATTTGCGTAACCCTCTAAAATTTGCATTTTTGACCATATTTGGGTGTAAGTAAGACCCCATATTTGGGTAGTGACGTCATGGTCTTGTATTTACAACTCGTGGTTCAAAATCGAACCAGTGCAGTGTGCAGCTGTTCGTTGTCTGTTCAAGAGAACCTAACTGGTGATCATGAGCAATCTTTAATACGATTTCTAGTTTGAAAGAGCAATTAGTGCTCTGGTTTGCTTTATAAATTGTGTTTAAAGCAGCAGCTGATCAAGGAATACGGTTTTACGCTCAAACTAGCTTGTTCTTTGCAGCTGGATTTATATTGAGGTAGCGTGTTCGCTTCTCGACTCAGAACCAGGGTTTCCAGTGTTCTCTTTTCCTTTGTGAACTGAATTTTAAGCGGCAGTTGATCAAGGGATAGGGTTATATTCTCAAAACTTATATCAGAACCAGCGTGTTCTTCGCAGGTCGATTTACATTGAGCCAGTCCTCACCTTCCGTGAGGAAAGCAACGTATTTGCGGACCTTTTCTTTGAAATGTATTTATGTTTTTCGAGAGATTTTGTCAACCAGCATGTTTTTTTACTGCTCGATTTACATTGAGACAGCCCAAAACTCTCGTGAGGAATGCAACGAATTTGCGGACCTACTGTTTTTCAGACTACCATTATGCCTTTCAAGAGACTCTTTGTCCTGTGACACTCGCTCATTAGATCTTTGTATTTTATTCAAGTTTATATTTTTATACCTCTAACACATTCCGCCCATTCTTGCGCGCTTTTCACACATTTCGGTTTACACCAATTTTTTTCTTATGTATATTACCACTCAAAATATTTTTCTTATCCCTGATGACGCCGTTGCTCGGAATTTAATTATTATTTTTAATTTCAGCAGTCAAAGGCCTCATTTGAACTATATTTTTCTTTCTAACGTTTATAGCTTTGATACAATGGAATTTTCCATGAAACATAAGTGCTAACTTGCTCATATTTACCAACAAAGCTTCAAGCCATGTTGTTATTGTTTAATAAAAGTGAAAGCCTAGAATGTGCAAAGTTGTTGTTTCGAAGTTGGTGCCATCCTTTTCTATAGCGGAATCCATTTTAAACCTCTAAAATTATGAAAGAAGATCTGAATAGGCACATTCCACAAAAGATAAACGAATTCGCCTCGTTGGCACTTGCCGGAAGGTACCCCTAGTTTACTGCTACATTCCCCTGGTAAAGACAACGTCTGTCACTACTTTTTTAACTGAATGAGACAGAAATAAAACACTTTCAATAAAATATATGTAGGAAGGGGTATACCTTACCTTCAACGTCCTTCGTCTTCTTTTTCAATTTTTCTTTGGGAGACAAAAAAAATCTTCATGATGTGGTTGAAACCGAGGCGGAAGCATTAAAAAAACACATATTTGCACTTTATTAACGTGATTTTAAACAAATCGCGTTAATTTAATGCATCTTAATTTAGGTCAATGTTAATTTAAATAACACTATTTTACATCCTAATTTGCTGTTTTACAGCACCTTTATTTCAATAATAAAACCTCGTCTGCTCATTGTTCCTCTACTAACGCCTCGGAGTCACTATCTGACAGTTCTTCTTTAAGAATTGAGTTCAAAATGTCTTTCAACTGGTCTTCCCCGAGGGGATAGCTGACTTCTTCAGTCTTTCTTCTCAAAATTTCCATTTACGTTTATTTTTGTTTTTTTCCTTTAGATATGTATGTTGAGAAGTTTGTATTGCAACAAATTCGCGTAAGATAAATTTAGGCACACATTGTTTTCGAAAATTTCGCGTTAATTTGATGTTTGTAAAACTAACTTTTGGAAAACTCGCGTTAATTTTGTGTAACGTAAACTATTTTCTTCGCGTTTTCAACGTGCATCGTTAATTTCCTATAATAGACCTTGTCACGGTTTTCGACGCCATCTTGACGAGTAGGCAAACGCGTGAGAAATTACAGTGTTTGTATGAGAATCTAGTGTCGAATAATTTCCTTAAGACGGCTGTTCTTAAAAAATATCAATTATAAACTAAAGCTACAGAGCAAAGGATCCTCCAAAAAAAAATTTGGAGGCTTACCTGTGCTTAAATTTCTTCAGAGGCTTGCTTTAGATTTTCCATATATTTGTCTGTAATTTTCCCGGGACTTTCTTAGAGACAAATGTATAAGAAATTTAAAAAGTGGTTCTAGGTCTTCTAGAGAATGTAACGCCCTCAAATTTTTTCAGTAGAATCCTTAGGAGTGAAGCTTTGGTTTACAAATCATATTTTTTTCAGAACAGCCGTTCTACGGAAATTATTCGAAATTAGATTCTCATACAAACACTGTAATTTCTAACGCGTTTGCCTACTCGTCAAGATGGCGTCGAAAACCGTGACAAGGTCTATTAATACTGTTGTGTGTTCTAGAGAGGCTGGATTTCTCCACGCGCCTGTTCCAGCATTCTTGATAGCAGGGATCATTTGCACTCCCTCAGTACTGAGTTCGGCTTCATCAAAAGGTTCACCTCTTAGAGCTTTGCCGAGGCTCGTTTTACCCACACGGTCTTGCCCTACGAGCAAAACCTTGACACGTTTATCATATGTACTACCACCAGTCTCAATTGCCCTGTGATAAGCAGCAAGTGCTTTGTCTCCTCTAGCTCGCACAAAGGCTGGAATCAAATCTGAAATTATTAAAAGAATCGGTTTAACAAATTATTAGAGGTGACATTAAATTTCACACTGATGTTAAATAAGCTAGTCTTTAGACGCGATCATGTATCATTCTTGGAGCTTTAGAAAGATAACTGCACAGTGATTGTTTCTTTAGAGATTAAGGGTTTATATAATTACTTAGAAGTGTAGAAAATTCAAGATTTATGCCACGATCCGGCCAGGCCAGGACCGTAGCCAGACACTTAACGCAGAAAATAGCAAAATCTAGAGGCTTTGACCATGAGCCACATTGTATTTTAGGCAGTTTTAGAAAATTCAACCTTGTTTAAATCCAGACGAGGCGCTTGCCTCGTCTTGCCTTATGCCAGCTACGACCCTGCGATTAAGCTGGTACTTAGTTGCCAACGAGGCAACCGCGCTAAGAAGCGAGGCTGACTCGGCGGCAGAATTATAACGCCGCGCAATGTAGGCAAAAACTCTCAAATTTGCGTAACCCTCTAAAATTTGCATTTTTGACCATATTTGGGTGTAAGTAAGACCCCATATTTGGGTAGTGACGTCATGGTCTTGTATTTACAACTCGTGGTTCAAAATCGAACCAGTGCAGTGTGCAGCTGTTCGTTGTCTGTTCAAGAGAACCTAACTGGTGATCATGAGCAATCTTTAATACGATTTCTAGTTTGAAAGAGCAATTAGTGCTCTGGTTTGCTTTATAAATTGTGTTTAAAGCAGCAGCTGATCAAGGAATACGGTTTTACGCTCAAACTAGCTTGTTCTTTGCAGCTGGATTTATATTGAGGTAGCGTGTTCGCTTCTCGACTCAGAACCAGGGTTTCCAGTGTTCTCTTTTCCTTTGTGAACTGAATTTTAAGCGGCAGTTGATCAAGGGATAGGGTTATATTCTCAAAACTTATATCAGAACCAGCGTGTTCTTCGCAGGTCGATTTACATTGAGCCAGTCCTCACCTTCCGTGAGGAAAGCAACGTATTTGCGGACCTTTTCTTTGAAATGTATTTATGTTTTTCGAGAGATTTTGTCAACCAGCATGTTTTTTTACTGCTCGATTTACATTGAGACAGCCCAAAACTCTCGTGAGGAATGCAACGAATTTGCGGACCTACTGTTTTTCAGACTACCATTATGCCTTTCAAGAGACTCTTTGTCCTGTGACACTCGCTCATTAGATCTTTGTATTTTATTCAAGTTTATATTTTTATACCTCTAACACATTCCGCCCATTCTTGCGCGCTTTTCACACATTTCGGTTTACACCAATTTTTTTCTTATGTATATTACCACTCAAAATATTTTTCTTATCCCTGATGACGCCGTTGCTCGGAATTTAATTATTATTTTTAATTTCAGCAGTCAAAGGCCTCATTTGAACTATATTTTTCTTTCTAACGTTTATAGCTTTGATACAATGGAATTTTCCATGAAACATAAGTGCTAACTTGCTCATATTTACCAACAAAGCTTCAAGCCATGTTGTTATTGTTTAATAAAAGTGAAAGCCTAGAATGTGCAAAGTTGTTGTTTCGAAGTTGGTGCCATCCTTTTCTATAGCGGAATCCATTTTAAACCTCTAAAATTATGAAAGAAGATCTGAATAGGCACATTCCACAAAAGATAAACGAATTCGCCTCGTTGGCACTTGCCGGA